TGTTGCTCTCGCCTTAGCGCCGCGCACATTCGCTTTAAAATTCTGCCAGAGCTTCACGGATTGAGGGCGGGCCGTTTTCAAAGTGTGGCTCTCGCCTCAGCGTCGCGCAGAGTCTTTGTAAAAACTTTCAAGAGCTTCACTGATTGAGGGCGGGCCGTTTTCAAAATGTGGCTCTCGCCCCAGCGCCGCGCAGATTCGTTTTAAACATCTGCAAGAACTTCGCGGATTGAGGGCGGTTCCTTTTCAACATGTGGCTCTAGCCTTAGCGCCGCGCACACAAATTGCAAGAGTCTCACGGGCTGAGGGCGGGTCGTGTTCAAAATGTGGCTCGCGCCCTAGAGCCGCGCACATTCGTTGTAACAATTTGCGAGGGCTTCACGGATTGAGGGCGGTTTCTTTTCAAAACGTGGCTCTCGCCTTAGCGCCGCGTACATTCGTTCTCAAAACCTGCAAGAGTTTTCACTATTCCCATGGTCAACGTACCAGACATGGTGTTTTGGAAGGATTCAGGATTATGCTGGTTCAATAATTATGTTGATTCGCGGTGTTGAAATCCCAAACATGGCGTCATGGCACGATTCCGGATCGTCAAGATGCAGCTGTCAAGTTGATACCAGCTCCTTCAATGGAAATGAACCGTTGTGGGGGCCTATGAAGGGGGAGCTTGGAGGGAGGGTTAATTCCAACATCGTTGATGACTCTTGGTTTTACAGTGGTTCTCCTCCTCCTCCACCTCCTCCTCCTCCTCATCCTCCATTCCTTCTCCTTATGAATAATTCCTCCCTGTCGCGCCCCAAGGCCAGTTTTTAGGACGGGCCGGGCGTTTCGCTTGAGACTTCCTCATCACCATGTATGACCATGAAGTTTAAAGAATGAAAACAAGCTCACAATTGGAGGGCGGGTCGTGTGACTCTCGCCTTAGCGCCGCGCACATTCATCTCAACAAGCTGCAAGATCTTCACGGATTGAGGGCGGGTAATTTTCAAGATGTGGCGCTCGCCTTAGCGCCGCGCACATTCGTTTTCAACAGTTGCAAGGGTTTCACGGATTGAAGGCGGGTGGTTTTCAAAATGTGGCTCTCGCCGTAGCACCGCGCGCATTCGTTTTCAACATGTGCAAGGGTTTCACAGATTGAGGACGGGTAGTCTTCAAAATGTGGTTCTCGCACTAGCGCCGCGCACATTCATTGTCAAAATTTGCAAGAGTTCCACTGGTTCCCATGATCAACGTACCAGAAACGGTGTTTGGGAAGGATTAAAGGATTATACCAGCGCCACAGTTACGTTGATTCTCGGTGGTGGAATCCCAAACACTTCCGGATCGTCAAGACGCAGCAGTCAGGTTGATACGTGGTGTTGACATCCCGAATACTATGTTTTGTCATGCTTCAGGATATTCAAACGGTTGTCTTCCAACGAGGCACTTCCCTCAATGGACATGGACCGTTGTAGGGGCCTATGAAGAGGGAGCTTGGAGGGAGGGTTAATTCCAACATTGCTGATGACTCTTGAGTTTACACTGGTCCTCATCCTCCTCCTACTCCTCCTCGTCATCCTCCTCCTCCTTCTCCGCCCTCCTCCTCCTCCTCTTATGATTGGTGGTAGTATTGATATGAATATGATTATTGTTATTAGTAGCACCAGTATGGAATATTACTAGCATTATGATTGTTAGTAGTAGTACGATTTATAGTGCTGATAAATATGAATAGTATCGTTGTTACTGATAATGTGCAATACTAAGATTTATAGTATTAGTAATATTAGTATTAAGATTCGTGTTACTATTATTCTCTGGATTCGAATTACTGTGATTCGTATTCGTAATACTAATATAATCATTCTGCGTATTAGCATCACTCGTGTGACTGTGAGCATCTTTATTCTCAGTGAGGTCCATATCATCTGCTTGTCTGTCTCTAGCATTGTATTACCATTAATACTATGACTCTGTGTATTATGATGACGATCCATCTTCTGATCGAAACTACTCTTTCATATCTGCAGTATGCTTGCTGATGATAAGAATAGTATTAGTAGTCGGCTGCGGACTATTCTTATTACTATTATAGTTCAAACATTCGTGCTATCATTCCCATGCTTCATGTTATTAGTACGCTTGCCCTTCTGACTCGCATTCTGAGTCCTACTAAAATTCAAAAAATGAAAATGTGTATTACTCTGATTGTTCGCCTTAGCGTTATCCTCCTTCGTCTTAGTACTCGTCAAATGGTTATGACTATGAGTTGTCGGATTCGTACTCTTCTCCTTCTGTTTACGAAAATACTAATAATGATAATAATATATTTAGTCATGGTATCGTTCCTGCTCATCTTACCAGTAAAACTATGTTCAGTAGTCTTCCGTATTCGTACTATTCCTGCTATACGTATTAGTCGTACTGTCATGAGCATTAGCATGATCAGTATTACCAGTATGACTAGTCGTAGTCTAATTCTTACAAGTTTGATTATTTGTCATACTAATATGGCTACTGCGCTTCGTCGTAGTAATTGACATAGTATTAGCAGTATTGATCTACGTCGTATTAGTCTTAGTTATAGTGCTAGCAGTATTATCACTAGTCATGCTGAACAGACTTAGTGTTGTTCTTGTTCGTCGTGGCATTCGTATTGTTATGTGTCGTCGTAGTATGTGTCTTGTTGTTCTTCTGGCTTGATCATTAGTACTACTAGGTTATTGTTGTTCGTAGCGGTATTATTATTCTGAATCCTATGATGTATCATGTGCTTGTTCCTCTTCTTCCTCTTCCTCCTCCTCATCATCATCATCATCCGCCCTCCTCCTCTTCCTCCGCCCTCCTCCGCCCTCCTCCGCCCTCCTCCGCCCTCCAACGCCCTCCTCCGCCCTTCTCCACCCTCCTCCACCCTCCTCCCTACTCGTCCCTCCTCCTCCTCCTTCTCCTCCTCATGCTCCTCCTCCTCCTCCTCCTCCTCCTCCTCCTCCTCCTCCTCCTCCTCCTCCTCCTCCTCCTCCTCCTCCTCCTCCTCCTCCTCTTCCTTCCCCCCCCAGTCGGTGCCATTCTCCTCGGGCGAACTGCGGGGATGCGTGGGGAGATGAGGAGAGCCTTGGCGAGGAGGGCGACAGCGAGGACGAGGGCCCCAGCGGAGGAGGCACAAAAACGAGGAAGACGAAGCCTCGCCCAGATCTCGGCCGACTCAGAACACCTGCAGGGCGGCCAGCGGGGCATCTTGGGGGGTCCCAACGCGGTGTGGTGACACGCGGCGTGGTGACCTCGAAGTCCCAGAAGACCTCGCCGCATTCCGTCACCACACGGTTTGTGAGGCCCTGGAGGCCCTGGTCGCCCGAGACGTCCTGGGAGAACGACCCGAGTCCTACAACCGTGCGGTGACCCCGAATCCCCAGGTGTGGTCACCACACCGTTTGGGGGCCCCCCACAGATGCCGGGTGCCCTGCGAGCCTGAGCGGCGCGACACGCCGACGCCTCCTCGGAGGCCTCGGGGGCTCGCGCGGGAGCCCGCCCGCAAGGAGCAGCAAAAGGCACGGGGGACTCCCCTGGAAGCCGCCGCCCCAGCGCCGCCCCGCGGGGACTGGGCGGGGGCGCCGCGACCACCAGACTCGGGGCAGCGGGGACTCGGTCGGGCGGGGGCCTGGAGGCCGCGAGGCCCGACGCCGGATCTCGCCCACGGGCACGACCCCTACGGGCACCGTGCCTGAGAGGGGGCGTGCTGTGGAAGAGCAGAGGCCATGAGCCGGCATGAGGTGGGACGACGACGCCGACGGCGGATAAGAGGGGAAAGGGGAAGGAGAAACCGACTGCTTTCCAACTAATGCGAGGGGGACTCCTCTTTGCTGCAGCCGGTCAGGGAGGAGGAGGAGGAGGAGGAGGAGGAGGAGGACGAGGAGAGGAGGAGTAGGAGGAGAGTCCATGAAACGTCCAGACAACAATGCCGATGCCAGTCGCGCAAACAAACATGTGTTTGTTCGCGCCCCCGTGACCCTCGGCAGGACGCGGAAGGGTGTAGTGCCCATTGGTGTCCCCGCTTGCACCAACCCGACTCGCCGATCACCCTGACGACTCCCTGACTGTCTCCAACACCGCTGCGATGCCCAGAACGGCATGCCACACGGCGCCGCCAAGATAACAAAAGCTCCCCAAAGAGAAACCAGGCAGCCCCCAAGAAGACCCCAGGGTACTCTGGAGAGGCCCAAGGGCGCCCAGGAAGCCCCAAGCAGCCCCAGGAGGTGTCGGAGAGGCACCCAGGGAGGAAGTGGACGAGGAGAAACAAGAGTAGGAGAAGGAGAAAAGAGCAGGGTTTGCAACAGCGGTCCCATTGGGTCCTGACTGGCGAGTGACGGGCCGCCACGCGCCCGTGGAAGAGGAGACAGCCGCACCCTCTTCTGCCGCCCTCCGTGAATGCTCTCCCGCCAGAAGAACGCCACTTCCCGCCGTCTGAGGTGGGGCCCGAGAGGACGAGGAGACGGCCGAGGAGACCCGAGGCGATGCAGGCTGGCCGACGTGCTCGCGCCGAGCTGGCACTTGGAAGCTCTCGACGCAGCCCCTTCTCGGCACGGAGCCCGCGGCCCGAGAAGGGGGCCTGGAGACGATCGTGCTGCTGCGGCCCTGGAGGCCAGACCACCTGAGCTGGAGGTGAGGGGAACGATGGGGGGACCAGCTCAAGGGAGGAAACATCGACCTGGAATCGGTGATACCTCGCCGACAGGTCGGCGATAGGCCTCCGATGGCGAAACCGCACGGTTCCTGGGCGGGGTGGGCGATCAGGCCCCCATCGGCGATGAACGGGCGACTGGGAGTCGATGCGTCTCTCTGAGCCTATCCCCCCAAGCGTTACCCCTCGGTCTTCGGGTCATCGCTGAGCTCTCCGGGCACCCCGGGGACGCTCCCGACGAGACGCAGCTGATGGAGGAAGCAACCCCAGGCCTCAAAAACTTCAGACAATCATATGAAACTGACCCTCCTGCCTTCCTCGACCGACCCCCCCTGATGGGGGCCAGGTCCTGGCGAGCACCCGCCCTCGACGTGTGACGCGCCTTCTTCGCGGGCGCCTCGGCGGGGGTCGCCAGCGCGGAGGGGCGTGGAGAGCCCCCCCGCCAGCCAATCCGCCATCGCTCGCCTCTCAACTGCTCTCCCATCCCCTGCGCCGCGCACACCCTCCGCCTCCTCCTCCTCCTCCGCTGCCCCCCCCCCCTCCCTCTCCCTCCCTCCCTTCAATCGTCGCCTCCCCGCCCTCGGTTCCTCCCTCCCCACATGCTCCCTTCGTTTTCCACCCCTGGTTCACCTTTCCCTCCACTACCATTTCATGCCACAGTCTCACTCTCTCTCTCTCTCTCTCTCTTACTTACTCTCTCTCTCTCTCTCTCTCGCTCTCTCTCTCTCGCTCTATAGATTTATGTCTCTCTTTCTCTCTTGTCCTCTCTCTGTCATTATCTCTATCTCTCTCTCTCTCTCTGTCGCTTCTGTCTTTCTGTCTGCCTCTCTCGCTCTCTCGCTCTTTCTTTCTCTCTCTCTCTCTCTTTCTCTCTCTCTCTCTCTCTCTTTCTCTTTCTCTCTCTCTCTCTCTCTCTCTCTGTCTTTCTCTCTCTCTCTATTTCTCTCTCTCTCTCTCTCTCTCTTTCTCTTTCTCTCTCTCTCTCTCTCTCTCTCTCTCTCTATATATATATATACATACACAATCATATACCACTCTCTCGTTCTCTCTTTCTTTACTTCTCTTTCCCCCCTCTCTCTTTTTCTCTCTCTGTCTCTCTCTCTCTCTCTCTCTCTCTCTCTCTCTCTACACACACACACATATAGACTCAGGTGTGTACATATATATATATACTAGAACCATCGCGCGCGCGCTTCGCGCGCGCTCGAGTTCCAGCTAGGATCCTCGAAATCGTCACCATCGCCATCCTCATCGCCATCATCTGCATCGTTATCGTCATCGACATCGTTATCATCACTATCACCATCACCATCAACACCATCAGCATCACCACCACCATCAGCAACACCATCGTCATCACCGTCGTCATCATCGCAATCGTCATCATCATTATCGTCACCCGCATCACCATCATCATCGTCACCATCGTCGTCATCATCATCGTCGTCATCATCATCACCATCGTCATCGTCATCGTCATAGCCATCATCGTCGTCGTCTTCGTCGTCCTCCTCGCCCTCAGCATCCCTCCCCAAGACCGAGCGTCTTTGTAACTGGGGTTGTGGACATGAGGCCGCGATTATTTTCCTGGCAAGCGTTTAGGGAACATGGTTTGGGCAGAGGGCGGCAACCCGAGATAATGTTCCCGGGAAGCTTTCCGGGAGCATGATTTGTTCGGCTCTCTTACGAGGGGGGGCCCTGGGGGCTTACCGAGGGGCCCCTTTTGGTCTTGTCGGAAAGCGAATTGGAAACATGGTTGGGACGGTGGGCGGAAGCCCAAAGAATCATGTTCCCGGAAAGCTGTCCAGGATATACGATTTACCGAAGTGTTTTTGGGGCTCGCAGGGGGCTTCCCTGCGGGCCCTTTGGGGGGTTATTGGGGCTTCCGGGGGGCCTTCTGGGAGCCTCACGGGGTTTCTTGGGAGCCTCTTGATGGCCTCCGGGGGCGTCCTAACAGCCTCTCAGGCCGGAGACCTTGAAATGTCGCGCTCTTCGGGCCCTCTTGGGTCGCTCTTGGGGCTCTGTTGGTGCGCTCTCGAGGCCCTTTCGAATGATCTGGGGAGCCTCCTGGGCCGTCTCTGGGCTTTCTTGGCAGCCTCTTCGGCCGTCTTGGAGCGCGCTGAAGGGCCTCTGACGCCGTCCGGGACCGTGGGGAAGCGGAACATGGGAGAGCGCAAAAATGCTGCATAAATCATGGGAAAATTCATGATTTTCGGCTTCTGGGGCCCGTTGGGCGGGCCTCTGGAGGCGTTCTTGGGGCGTTTCGGCAACGTCGTCGGCCGTCCTGAAGCCATTTTCGGCGCGTCCGGGGCCTGACGAGGTTGTCTTGGCAATCCCGAGGGCCCTCTTAACGCGTCGCGGGGCGGCTGGGAGCGAGCCCGGGCAGTCCCGGGACCCCCGGGACCCCCCCAATACCCCAATGGGGGGGTACGGCAGCGGCCCGCCCCCCCCCTGGCCTACTCCGATATCTATGTGTATATATATAATAGATGTACACATATATATATATATATATATATATATATATATGTACACCTACATACATACATACATACCTACCTACCTACCTACCTACATACATACATACATACATACCTACACACACATGCACATATATATATATATATATATATCCCTCGTGGCTCAGCAGGGTTCAACGCTCACACGGCACAGCTCGATGAGGCCTCCAGCTCATCGATTTCCTCTGAAGTCATCCAGACGATGCCGTGTGCATCTGGTTGCCGTGGCCGCGCACGGGGCGGCTTCGAATTATTCTTTAAGTCTGTCAAGCGCTCTGATTCTGTCGTATATGTAGCTGCGAGCCATGCCGCCACGGATGAAAAAGCACTGTCATCGTGATGGTGATTCGTGCATGTGGGAAGCGGAAAAGCAGGGATGGGAGGAAGCACAGACGACAGAGGAGCGCAGGATGGGGCGTGCAAGTCGGGGGGCACAAGGCAACATTGACGGACGGGGGCTTCAGACGCCACTCCAAGCGGCGAGACCGCACAATCATCATGTTGAGGCACAGCGGCGGCGCATACCAACTCGTCTGCAAGACCCTCTAGTGACGAGCTGCAGCATCGGAGCTGAATGAGGTCCGAGCGGCGCAAGTACTGGGCGCCAGGAACACCCCAATCAGGGCGAGCAGCATCAGCGGCTCCGCAATCGGTGTCACGACGATCTTGGTCGGGAAGGTCGCCGCTCAGAGCGGCGACGGGATCGCTATCGGCGTCTTCTGCAGCGGCCTTGGGAACGCGCAGAAGGACATCGGCGTGAACAGTTTCGGCAGAGGCCAGTTCTTCGTGTGGGCCGTCACGATCAGCATCTTCAGAGAGAACACCAGCGAGATGATCTCGATTCTCAGGACGAGTCTGGCAAGCCTGAGGCGCACGGTCACCAGCAGGATCACCCACGGCAGCGTGCGCAGCACCAGCTGTGGCCTGACCGTCTTCGAAGTTGCGCAGCTCCCGCTCGAAATTGATGTCGTACAGGTAGGACTCGTGACTAGCCACTCCAGCTGGCGGCTGCGGGGAAGAAGTAGTAGAGCACCCACTCGGCGGTGAAATTGAAGAACGAAGATTGGCAATGAATTCTGACACCTTCGGCAGGTCCGAGCCGTCGCAGTAGCCCACGACCTCGGGCAAGAGCGTGGGCGGCCTCTGAGCGTGGATGATGTGCACGATGTGCGTAGCCATGCCAACAACCATAGACAGTATGTCGAGCACCTGCGGCAGAAGGGATGAAAGAGAAGTCGGGTTCGCACCTTTTGGCAATAGCGGGTCCAGCTGCAACACGCGCGTGCCCGATGGGACAGCATCAAAGGGAGGAAGTACCTCATGTACAGCATGTTGACCCACGTCGGCTTGATGGATCGCCTCCTGCACGCGGGCGTCCTTGACCATCGGGATACGGTGTTTGGCGCGGCCTGCACGTGTGTTGACTTGGTGGAGCTGGTGAACAGCGGCGCCACCCACCCGCGGGGCAGCGAGAGCGACTGCATCACGAAGAGCGTGCGATTAAACTCCGCTCTCGAATTGAAGGTGAGCGTGAACGCGCATGCCATGCACAACGTCGCGAACATGAGGGGCCAGAGCAGCTGGGACCAAGACATGCTTAAAGCCGCAAGGGACCTCCCCGAGATAGCCGCGAGCACGGCCACGTTCGCGGCGGGCTTCACGGCGTGCAGCAGAGCGGCGATGCGGCATCACCGCGAGCGTGGAGACGATGAAGACGAGCATACGCCACACCGGTGGGCAGCGGCGCACACCATTGCATGCTGTGAGTGGAGAACGTGCGGGGCGCCGGCCTAGCCACATGTGGCTTGAGCAAAAATTGCTACGGATATATATATATATACACACACATACATACATACATGCATAATCATATACATAATCACATACATAATCATATACAAAATCATATACATATACATATACATACCATATACATGTACATATACATAGACATAGACATAGACATAGACATAGACATAGACATAGACATAGACATAGACATAGACATAGACATAGACATAGACATAGACATAGACATAGACATAGACATAGACATAGACATAGACATAGACATAGACATTGTTTGGCATTGACATTGACATAGACATAGACATAGACATATACATATACATATACACATACATATGCATATGCATATACACATGCAATTACACATACACATACATAGATATATATATATATACACATAAACATAAACATATAAACATATACACATATATATATGCATGTACAAATACGTATACATAGACATGCATGTATACACACATAATTACATACATATAGACATACATACAAACAAGCATATATACATACATGTATTCACGTTTATGTATGTGTATATATATACATACATAAACATATACATATACACATATATATATATACAGATACATATACATAAACATGTACATATACATATACATATACATGTACACATACACATGCATGTACATATACATATAAATTCACATATACATATACATATACATATACATATACATATACATGTACAGAAACACATACATATACATATACAGTTACAGATACATACAAATATACAGATACATTTACATATACAGATGCATATACATATACATATACATATGCATACGCATATACATATGAATATACATATACATATATATATACATACATACATACATATACATAAACATATACATATACATATATATATATATACATTAACATATACGTATACATATACATATACATATGCATATGCATGTACATGTACAGATACATATACCTAAGCATATACATATAGTTGTACAAATACATATACATATACATAGACATAGACATATACATCTACATATACAAATGCATACGCATATACATATACATACATGTATATATACATAGAAACATACATACATACATACATAAAAGCAGCTATACATACATATCTACAAATACAAGTATATGCTTACGTGTGTGAATAGATGTGCGTGTGTGCATATGTCTATGCATACATATATATGTATATATATGTATATATACACGCAAATACATACTAGAACCACGTGCGCGCTACGCGCGCGTTTAGATTCTAGTCGCAGATGAGCCACGGGTGCCGCTATAAGCCCAGCTGTAGCCACAACGACGATTTCCAGCGTTTTCGGGCCCATGCCCATCGACGCAAAGAAACGCGTAGTCAGAACGCGGGGCACCACGTCCCCGCGCATCTCACAATCTCGCTGCCGTCCTTGTTTGGTTTATCGAACTGCGTGTTTTTGTCCACTTTCACCTCCGCTCTGCCCCGTCGTAACACTCAATGTTTTTGCGCATGTGCTCGGCCTCTCCATGCCCGATCACGCAGACATCTGCTGGCTCCTGATTTGAGGTTGGCTCGGGGCCTCGTTGCGCGCGCGTGGGAGCGCGTTGTTTTTTGATTATCTTCCTTGTGCTCCAGGCTGCTCGTCGTCAGCGGTCGTTCAGCTGTCAGGTATCTGCAGAAGGCGCGCGCAGATGTCCCGGTCATCTGTGCCCGCCTCTGCAATCAGTTGTTGTCGAGTCCGTCCCCGGAAGTGTGGAAGCTTCTTCGTGCTGCACGCCAAACCTCATGCCGGCGATACTCGCACCCGTGAGAGCACAAGGTTCGGGCTCACAAGGGATGCTCAATGATTTGCCTGGCAAGTCCCATGTATGGTGCTGCCTGGAGCTATGACGGGGCCTCTGGCGGTAATTTCATGACGTTCTGGCGAAGCCTTTTCAGGATGTGAGGGGCGCGAAACCCGAGAATTGTATGGTACAGCCACACCCCGCTCGCTCGGGCGGGTCCGCCCGTCAACGGTGGGAGGAGCAAGAATCGCGTGAAAGAGTATGGTGTAGGGATGCCCTGCTCTCTCTGGCTGGGGTTTCCTTGGCGCTCTGGCGGGGCTTGCCCAGGAGGGGAGGGAAGAGCACGAAACCAGAGAAAAATTATGGTATAGCCACACCCCGTGCGCTCTGACGGGGCTACCTCGGGTGCGGTGGGAGGAGCAAAACAGAACAGGGACTGCAGATGGTATAGCAACACCCCTCTCGCTCTGCCGGGGCCGCCCTTGAGGGATGGGAGGGGCAAAACAACTTGCGAAATGATATGGTATTACGATGCCCTGCTCGCTCTGGCGGGGCCTGTTTGGCGCTCTGGCGGGGCCGTCCCAAGAGAGGAGGGAGGAGCGCAAAAACTGAGCATTGGAAGCTCGAGAGCGCGAGAAAGCGAAACACAACAAACAAACCAATGCAAATTAATGATGTGGGCCTCTTTGGGCTCTCTCTGGACGTCTCTCGGAGCTCTCTTGGGCCCTCTTGGAGGCCACTTGGGCTATGTGTTTTCCGTCTTCAGCTCCACTTGGGCCAAGTCGGGATCATCTGGGCCGTCCTGGAGTTCCTTGGGGCCTCCCGCTCCCGCTCTGGGGCCCTTCTTGCGCCTCTCCAAAAATTATCGTGGGCAATATTGGGCTGCTTTTGGGCAGTCTTCAGGCTCTCCTGGGCCGTCTTGGAGCTCCTTTTTGGGGCCTCTTCGGCGGTCTTGGGGGCGATCTTCGGGGCGGCTTCGGCCGTCTTGGAGCGTTGGAAGCTCGACAGCGCGAGACAGCGAAGAACTTAGGAAAATTATCCCAGTGCGACCCTACGTAGGAGTTGGAGCCTCTAGGAAAGCAACATTAGTAGGAGCGGTAAACGCCGTCCTCCTCCTTCTCCTCATCGTCGCAGTTGTAGCAGTAGCGGTAGTAGTAGCAGTAGTAGTAGTAGTAGTAGTAGTAGTAGTAGTAGTAGTAGTAGTAGTAGTAGTAGTAGTAGTAGTAGTAGTAGTAGTAGTAGTAGTAGTAGTAGTAGAAGTAGTAGTAGTAGTAGTAGTAGTAGTAGTAGTAGTAGTAGCCGTAGTAGTAGTAG